ATATATATATATATATAATATAAGGAGCTCTGGTGGTATAGTCCCTAAGGCATTTTACTGCTAACCAGAAGGTTGGTGATTCAAACCCACCAGCCATTCCACAGAAGGAAGACTGAACAATCTACTTCTGTAAAGATTTACCACTTTGGAAACCCAAAGGGGGTCACTCTGAGTCAGAATCTACTTGATAGCAGTAAGTTTGGTTTGGGTTTTATATATAATACACACACATATATACATAATATACACACACACACACATATGCATATGTACATATGTATATATGTATGTATATATAGGGCATTATTTCTATATGTTTAAAGGAAAAGAGGTTCAAATTCAGGTTTTAATGCTATTGAAATCAGAAATTTTTGGTTAGCTTAATAATATGGTTAATATGTGTTCTGCTATTCTGAATAGGAATACTGGAAGCATTTGCTATGGAAATCTTGGTTACATGGTGCTTAGTATGAATACTTAGAGCTACAGTAAGAGCTGGGTGTAGAATGGGTAATCTATTCCTGTCCTTCTCTCCATCAGCATCAGTAATCAAGAACTGGAGGAAAAAATCCTTTACTGGAGCAGCATTAATCTTGGTAACTTCATATGTATTAAATATTAATACGCTGGGCTGAGAAGTGAACTATGTACTCAACTATGTACTGAATTTGAAAAAATTTAACCACAAGTAAATTCTTTGGGCACTGCCTGTATTGAATTTGTGTTCATGGTGTCGGTGCATACCCTGCGTACTCATATGTATGTATTATGTGTTTGTGTGTGAATGTTTCATATTTTTTTTAAAAAATTATATTGTTATTTATCTTTTATTTGTGTCAGTATCTAGAATTGTACAGAACAAAAGAATTTGATTTTCATGACTTTCTCAAGGCAAATATAGGAAGTAAGCTTGGTAACCTCCTTTCTCCTGTCTTTATTGTATTTAATGGCTTAAATATGTACTGATAAGCCACAGGAGAAAACTTATTACTCTCCTCTAAGGCATTAAAGCATTATTTATCCCCAAATTTGTATTGTATTTTTGTTGTAGAAAAGAATGATCATTTAGCTGAGTGTTTCACAAAATGCAATGCACATATCACTGGGTCATATTTCAGGTCATTTTGGACGGTCATCAAACCAAAACCCACTGCCATCAAGTTGATTCCAACTCGTAATGACTATGTAACATAGAGTAGAACTATCCCATTGGGTTTCCAAGGCTATAAATTACTTTACGGAAGCAGACTGTCACATCTTTCTCCTACTTGACTAGTCACAGGCAAGCATTTTTGGTAATTATGTGTGCATTTTAGCTGTTGTTACTAACACATAAAGCTATTGATTCCATGAACATTATATTTTAGGAAGAGTAAAATAAAAAAATTTTCAAACTGCCATTAAAATAGTATGAGTAGAATGTGAATATGGCAGAAACCATGACAGTCATGTATGAATCTTTGACGACTAGAAAACATAGTTATGGAAAAGATTAATCTCTTAAAAGCAAATTTCAAGCATTTGTCACCTATGTAAGATGGTATTTTTGAGAAGAGGAAGTCTGCAAGGCTATTTTGAAATTGTGTATAAAGACAGCTCTTTATTTCTTGAGAGACCTAGCTGGATTTTAGAACATGTTGTGGTCAGGCCACAGTAAGAGCCAGGTGTGGACCTTCTCTTCACCAGCATCAATTATCAATAATTTGAAGAAAAGTCCTTCCTCTTTGATGAAGTTGCACTGGGCATGGTCACTCTGATGACTGCTTTCTTCTCTAATTGGTGAGGAATGAAGCCTTCTTCATACCCCTAGGAGAGAGACATCATTGTTACTTAATTTTGTTCCACTTTGTGGCACAAAATCCACTTTGTGATAGGATCCATTCCCCAAAATTTAAGATTGGTGACCATATACACTTCCCTTCTCTGTGTGTCCAGGATTCATCCAACATGAGGTCTTCCATGCAGGCAGTGGCACTCTGGGGAATAAAGGCCCCTCCTCACAGCATCACGGCCATCATGATCACTGATGACCAACAGACAGTTGTGACTGGAAGTCAAGAGGGTCAGCTCTGTCTCTGGAATCTCTCACCTGAACTAAAGGTTAGTGAATACTTTCAATATTGAAATAGTCAACACTCAGAAAATAAATACAGCTGCTTGTACCTACTATTACAGTAGAAGGTTTGCATGGTTGTTATAAACGATGCTTGCTAAAGTAATAAATTGATTTTACATCTACATTTAGAAGAAAAGAAAGTTATATGCTGGTTCAAAGTCACATTTTAAAATGATATTATGAATATTGCTAATCTTAGCTTCTAGCTAAATGTTATCACCCTTTAAGTTATGCTGAGTTTTACTATTTTATATCCTGAATTATATGTTTAAGTAACTGAACTACAGACATGTAAGTATAATTCTGGAAATTATGGCTCATTAATCTAAACAAAGGGCACTCTTGAAAATCACTATTAGCTAAATGAATAATATCTTAATTATCTTGGTGTTTCTGTCTGTTTGGCCTTCTTGCTATTCTTTTAGTCAGCGCTTGCCTTTGGTTTTTACAGATTGCATCAAAAAGCTCTAAATCCAATTTACTGTTGTCGTTCCTTTATTTTAGAACCTGACCTCACCTAGGATTTGGCCCATTGATTAGCAATTAATTGTTCCTGTCCCAAGTCATAAACATTTAACATATCGGAATAGATATTTGCTTAACTCTAGCAGCCTCTAGACCCAATTTGAACACTTAAACTAATGATGTACTTAAAGTATACTGCTCTCATTAAGAAGCCTTTTAAAGATCAAAGACTATTTTTAGCCTTTAAAATTTGTCACTTTAAAACCTAAATTAACAATTAATTGTAATTCTATTTTATAGTGTAATTAATTAACATCTTCCATCACTGAGTAGTTCTACTACACACTGCCAAGAACTGCATAGCAGACCAGCTCAGCTGAAGGTTTAGGAACATTCCTGAAAGAAAGAACTGGTATTATCGCAACAGTTGTGGTTTGAAAATGGTGGCTCTCACATTTATTTTGTATTATGGTTTAAAATACTTAATTACTCTTTCTAATATTGAAACACAGTGTTTTTTTGTTTGTTTGTTTTTATTTTTTCTGGGTGGAGTCATTGTCTTGTATACGTAAGTTGCTATAAGCTTAAGAAATTTGGCATCCTAGCTTCTGTATTTTTTTATATGTTCTTGATATTGATTCAACATTAATTCATTATGCATTTATTGAATGCGTATTATCAGTTAGACAGTATGCCAGCTACCTGAGTTCAAGGCTGAATGAGACCTGGCACTGGCTGCCCAGGAGGTTGCAGTGTAGTGGAGAGAAAGGACAGGGTAATGTAGTACAAACTCACTGTTGTCGAGTCAGATCTGACTCATAGCCACCCCTCCTTGGGTTTCCGAGATGGTATCACTATGGAAGTAGATCACTTAATCATCCTTTCAAGGAATGGTGGGTTTGAACCTCCAACCTCCTGCTTAGCAGGCATATGCCTTAGGCACTACACCACCAGAGCTCCCAATGTAGTGTAGTCATGTATCTTCAGTGGGGAAGTTATGCCCTGCTTCTTTTTGGAGCAAATCTTTTGCTTAGAGTTAGAGCAGTAATTCTCATTTAAGGACAATTTTGCTGTCATGGAAACATTTGGCAATGTTTACAGACTATTTTTTTTTTTCACACGTGAAGGGTTGGAGCTTCTGCGGTATGAGTCAAGAAAGCATTTGAGCACGAATTAAATCAGTGGCAGTGGGGTTAAGAAGAGATGTTAACTAAAGACAGTGGTTAGAACTTAGCAACGTGTTGGATGTGGGGTAAAGGAAAGGGAACAGTTAAGGATACCTTCTGGGTATTGGTCTTGGGGGCTAGGTGGGACTAGTGGGATGATGATATCTTTTATTTGTACAAGGAATAGAAGGGATAGGGAATGTTGTTGTTGTTGATATGTGCCGTCAAGTTGGACCTGACTTACAGCAACCCAACCTTGGGTTTCCGAGGCAATATCACTACAGAAGTAGATTGCCCAACCTTCTTTCCAAGGAGTGGCTGGTGGTTTGAACTGCCAGCCTTCTGGTTAGAAGTCAAGTGCCTTAGGCACTGCATCACCAGAGCTCCCCCCGGGGATAAGGGAATAGGAATAAAAAAACACAAAAACACTGCTATTGAGTCAATTCCAACTCATGTGAGTCTAGGATGGAGTAGAACTGCCCCATAAGGTTTCCAAAGCTGTAAATCTTTATAGAAGCAGACTGCCACATCTTCCTGTGGAGCAGCTGGTGAGTTGGAACCACTGACACTTTGGTTAGCAGCCAAGCATTTTAACCAATGTCCCACCAGGGCTCCTTAAGAATAGGGAGGTGGGGGAAAAGGGTGGTTTAACTTCTGGACATAACAGGTCTCCAAGTATTCAGTAGTAGCTCTGGTAGTGTAGTGCCTAAGGCACTTGACTGCTAACCAGAAGGCTGGCAGTTCAAACCCACCAGCCACCCCTCAGAAGGAAGGTTGAGCAATCTACTTCTGTAGTGATACCACTTTGGAAACCAAAGGAGGTGGCGTTATGAGTAGGATCTGAAGTATTCAGTAGGGGATCAGGCACACATCTCAGTCTTTTCCTGTCCATGGGTGGTGAGATGGTAGGGTACAGCAGAGCTAGAGAATGAGTAGCTCCCTCTTCAGGGGTTTCTATCACAGACTTAGGTTGTGTGAGTTGCCTTCAAGTTTATATCTGAGCCTCTTAACCCTCCAGCTTCCCCCGAACTTTGTAGGGTCTGCCAATGAGAAGCTTCTCCAAGTCCTATCTTAGGAACTTTCTCATTTAAGTATGTTTTAATTCTCTGTTATTGATTATTATTCATCATGTACTTTTAAGCATACAGGAAGGTGAGATGAATGTCCTTTTAAATGTGTTCCCTAGTACTGCTCCATTTTTTCTCCTATCTAAAACAACAGTGACAAATGAGGAATAGCAACATTGTGTAGAAAGAAAGAATGGAAACTTAGATCAAATTCCAGCCCTGATGCTTACCAATTCTGTGATATTAGGCAAATGACATGTTCTTTGAGTCTCAGTTTTCTCACCTGTGAAATGGTGATTAAAACACTGTCTATGGAGGGTTGTACCAGTGCCTAGAATATGCAAGATGCTCTTCAAGTTGGTATTTTTCCCTTCTCTATGTTATTAGAAGTTCTTGGGAACTGGTGATGGTAGGAGTTGGAGTGATGAAAACACATGCTTCACAGAGGTAGAGCCAGTTCTGATTATGTAGTGATAGTGAGTAAGTGTGATTGTAGAATTTATTATTTTTATTAGGAGTTTCAGGAGATGATAAAATAAGGAGATTATAATAAAATGTCATAGTTTGTTCCAAGTACATGTGGAATTTAGTAGCAGAATGAGGCCTTCACATGAAAGACAATGCAGCTCCACTCTGGTATTTTGTCCACAGCACATTTTCTTTGGAGACGTGTATCTTCTCTGCGTTTTGGGCTTGCTTGCTTGCTTAATCTGCTCCTTTATATCTCATTCTGGTCTGTTATAGATTAGGAAGGAGTTGAATTCCAAAAGGTATGAGCCCTGAAGTATAACAATGGGAAAATATTTTATGCTATTTTCTGAGATAGAATCTCTGGTTTTCTCAGGAAATAGTCAATTTGGTCATAAGTGATTCTAATAAACTACACAAACCCTCTCTGTAGCATTAAAAGTTTATTCTGACAATAGACCTTTTAAAGACATATTTCTGATTGTGATAGAAATGATACGAATGTAGAGAACAACTATGCCAGAAATAATGTGTCGTCATTCGTATGGTTGGGTTATCATCTGCATATATATTTGCATATTTTTTTTAAAAAAAAGTATGTTGTTGTTGTTGTTATATGCCGTTGAGTTGGACCTGACTCATAGCGACCCCTCCTTGGGTTTCCAAGGCAGTATCACTACAGAAGTAGATTGCCCCATCTTCTTTCTGAGGAGTGGCTGGTGGGTTTGAACCGCCAGCCTTCTGGTTAGCAGTCAAGTGCCTTAGCCACTTGGAAAGTGGATTGTTGTTTTCCAGAAAAACTTTTTCTAGACATTGAAATTAAAATATATTCCTGTATTGACAACTCCTCCATTTGAGAGGATCTTGTATGTTTTCTCTTTTGTATTGGTTTTTATATCATTGTTTTACTAAAGGATGAGGAGCAGACTTCTTTCTCACATGAGATAATGGGGAAATTAGCCTTTAGTATCATATATTTTTAACTCACATATAGGATAAAAACATTGGTATTTTAAATCTTAAAAAAAATAAAAAATTAAAACACTGTCGTCAAGTCAGATCCAACTCATAGCAACTCTTCCTTGGGTTTCCGAGGCAGTATCACAATGGAAGTAGATTGCCCAACCATCCTTCTGAGTAGTGGCTGGTGGGTTTGAACTGCCAGCCTTCTGGGTAGCAGTCAAGTGCCTTAAGCACTATGCCACCAGAGCTCCCATTTTAAATCATAGTTTAGTTAAATTTTTTTCTTTAATATTAAAAAGTGAATTTTGCTATTCCTGGGCAAAAAGCCAAATAAGATATGCGGTGTAGTAAATTACTTAGTGTGGCTTTTCTACCCATAAGTCTTTGTAAACTCCAAGGTGGGAATTGCTATTAGCAACTGAGGAGATCCTGATTTTAAAGTCGCCCACCTGGAGTATTTCTGTTGGGCGTGGCACAATACAATGTTCTGGGAGGTTCCCACTCTCTCTCACGTGCTTAGAGTTCTGATGCTGTGATTGGCTAGTTTGACCACCCTTCCGGGAGCAAAAGGAAGCCTCCTGGAGGCAGAACGCTCTCTCTGACTGCTGGTGGAGGAAGACGTGCTGCCAAAAGAGACATGCACCCCTGAAAGAGACACGTGCTGCTGGGAAAGAGCCGCAAGAGACACGCATCACTGAGTGAGACACTGAGGGACCAGCACTGCTGGAAAAGAGACTGTGAGAGACTCTTGGCTGAGGGACGGTGGGCTGGGAGAGAGACTGAGCATTCTTCCTGGACTTGAGTTGTAGCCTGGTGCTTCCCTAATAAACCCCATAATCTGTGAGTTCTGTGTGGCCACTGCAGTGAATTATCGAACCCAGGAGAGAGGTGGTGGGTGCCTTGGGAGGAACGGTTGGTGAAAGGGCTGGAGGGAGGCAGCATGTCTGGCCTTGCAGTAATAGGCCTTGGGTTACTGCTGGTAATCCTGCCTTCCCCTTGTAGGGTTAGAGGAGGTCAGAACATGTGGCCTCCTTGTCGTTTTTGCAGATATTATAATGGTTACCAAAAGTTTAATTTTTTTTTTTTTTTACCTTATTAAACTCATTTGTGGATTCTGAAATTTGTACATTAATATGACACTATTACTTGGGGGAACTTTTGTGCAGAATAAGCATCAACACTGACTTATTTACATTCAAAACTTAGATGTTGTAAAACAGGTCTGACACTTACCTAGTTTTTATGTTGGGTACAAAACTAAAAGCAAAAAAGTGTGTACAACATACTTCCTTTATCTAGAAGTTCATTATTCCATGGGTTTTGATATGCCATGTATTGTAGGTTCCCTTGTATTTAACAAAAACATAATATAAAAGGATTTCCTAATCAGAATTATAAATACCATATTATGTGATGTGTATATTCTTCAACTGAAAACAGTTTCAGTTGTTCAAAAAGCTTACTGTCATCATTTTCAGATTTCGGCTAAAGAGCTTCTATTTGGTCATTCAACTGCAGTAACATGTTTGGCAAGAGCAAGGGACTTCTCAAAACAGCCCTATGTCGTTAGTGCTGCTGAAAATGGGTAGGTAAGATATGTGGAATTTGTCCCCTTTTCCATTCTCTCTCTCTTGCTCTCTCTCTCTCTCTCTCTCTTTTTTTTTTTTTTTTCCTGAATACAAGTTTAGGAGTGAAGGAAACCTATATTTCTTTTACATATAGGAGAATTTAGGTCTTAAAATAGTTGAGTAACTTGTGTGAAGATCCTAAGGAATGCAGTCAATAATGTGACTCCCACTCTAAAACTCATTTTGTTGGATCACGACCAAGAGACCTCTCAGCTTGTGTATCAGGCAGTGTGTATAAAGGATACTGGCAAATGCCACCTCTCTTAACAGGTATTATAGAATTGGAAATGGAAAAATCTGGGTTTTAGTGTTTTCACATATAGAGATAATTCCTGAGTTAAGTTCCATTCTATGGTAAGTTGGTTCTGAGGTAAGCCAAATAACTATTTTTTGTTTGTTTGTTTTGTTTTCATTATTATTGCCTTTTATTACAAGTATCTTTATAAATCGGATCTTTGGGTGTTGAAAACATTACACATAAACTTTCAGAAATATTTTAATATATAAAAAACAATTGCAACCACTACTGTGGAGTCGGATCTGACTCACAGCGACCCCTCCTTGGGTTTCCGAGGCAGTATACTCTACAGAAGTAGATTGCCCAACCTTCCTTCCAAGCAGTGGCTGGTGGGTTTGAATCACCAGCCTTCTGGTTAGCAGTCAAATGCCGTAGGCATTATGCCACCAGAGCTCCTATTTTAATATATACATACGTATAAAAATTACACAAATCATAACAACAACGGATGACTGGAAGTTTGGTTTCTGGTAACTTGAATATGTTGTAAATTGGGCATTACTTGTGAGTAGTAAGTAGTAACTTTGAATTCTTAATAAAACTCATCTAAGCCTTCCTACTTTTATAAAACAATCCAGTAACTACCCTCTTCATGGGATACCCACATCTAATGTCATACTAAAACTTCCAAGGGATAGATTCAATTGTAAGTGTAATGCTAGAAAAAAGAAGGAAAAGGAACAGTGATTTGGATGCTGTTTCATGTAAGTGAGGTTTACTCCAAAAAAGTAGGACTTACCTATAAGTCCCGTGTAGAAGAGCTTATATGGACTTGGAGTCTGTTGATGAAGTATTTGCCAGAATATGCTGAGGAATGTGGAATAAATTCAGCATGCAATCATGAATGACAGATTGGGTTGCTGGTTGAAACAAGAGAAACCCTCCTTTATTTATTTTAACCCAAGGATAAATAATATGACTCTGAATAATGAGAAACAAAAGAATAGTAAGGTATTAAGTGTCCAATCTGCAGAAACAGAATAGTTTAGCAAAATGGCAAATGGAATAGATGTCAAAGAGGTATTTAGTTTCATAGCTTATAGTAAAGCAATAATTATTACACTTAGATTGAACTTGGAATGATAATAAAGTAAAATGTTACAGAAAATTCTTTTTTAGCATTTGCTAGTAGCTTTCATGCTGTAGGGCTGCCAAAAAGCCTGCTAAGCAGGCGAAGATACTTATTCCCAATTTAGAGGATTTGGGACATGTCTTAGTTATCTAGTGCTGCCATAACAGAAACACTGCAAGTGGATGGCTTTAATGAATAGAAATGTATTTTCTCACAATTTAGGAGGTTAGAAGTCCAAATTCAGGGTGCTAGTGCTAAGAGAATGCTCTCTTTCTCTGTCTGCTCTAAGGGACAGTCCTTGTCTCTTTTCAGCTTTTTCTAGGTTCCTTGGTGATCATGTGGCATTTATCTTCCCTTTCTTTTGTACTTGCTTGCTTGCTTAATCTACTCAAACAAAATTTCAAAAGAAATTGATTTAAGACATACCCTACACTAATACTGCGTCATTAACATAACAACAACAACAACAAAAAGCCACATTCCTAAATGGAATTATAACCAAACCAAACATGTTGTCCTTGAATCCATTCTGACTCATAGTGATCCTATAGGACAGAGTAGAATCACCCCCATAGGGTTTCCAAGGTGGTAATCTTTATGGAAGTAGAATGGCAGATCTTTTCTCCCATGAGCCACTGGTGGATTTGGACTACCAACCTTTTAGCCAAGTGCTTAAACACGGTGCCACCAGGGCTCCTTAACCACAGGTATAGGGTTAGGATTTACAACAATATTTTGAGGATGCAATTCAATCCATAGCAGGGGATGATGAGATTTTCTAGGACTGTTCAGAGACTTGAGAATAACTTAATAGCTAACTGACAAATAGTTCAGGACAGGAACTGGGTCCTAGCTTGACATTTTGGCCCAGTGGTCTAGCTCCGTAAAAGATGATCATCACATTCTTGATGATAGATGAATTCAAAGCTGCATGAACTCTTATGTAGATATGTTTGTAAAAGGCATGCGAGTATAATTTGGTCTGACTTACCTCACTGCCGTCAAGTAGAATCCTACTCATAGTGACTCCTCCTTTGGTTTCCAAGCCAGTATCACTATGGAAGTAGATTTCCCACTCTTCCTTCCAAGCAGTGGCTGGTGGATTTGAACCGCCAGCCCTCTTGTTAGCAGTCAGATGCCTTAGACACTATGCCACAAGAGCTCCCTTGGTCTGACTAGCTATAGTCTTTTTTTTTCAAGATTTGAATTTCTAGAGCCCTGTTCCTTTGGTATACCCAGAACTTAGTATACAAGATACTATAGGCGTTACTTATGCTTCAGCCACACTGACATTACAAATCCAAATTTGATCTGCTGAAAACTTTTATTCTCACTAGGATTGGCCTCAATATTCCCAAGATAATAATAATTTTTTGTTTTTATAAGTACCAGTAAGTGGCTCTGAGCTTAGCATTTCTGTTTTCACAATGATCAGAGGAGAACAAAAGTTACTTTATGGCTCAGTTCTTATTTTCTTTCCCAGAGTATTAATTCATCTCCAGGCATAAATTCTTATATTCAGAAATTCCAATGAGGACTAGGATAAATGAGAGTAAGTGAACTCCTAAAGATATAATGTTGAAATGACAGAAAAAGAGAAGATCCTAAAAACGTTGTTATTCAGAGCCATAAAGTTGGTTCTAATTCATACTTCTGTGTAGAACATAATGAAGCACTGACCGGTCTTGTGCCATCCTCATAATTGATATGCTTGAGCCTGTTGTTGCAGCCGCTGTGTCAATCTACGTTGTTAAGTGTCTTCATCTTTTTCACTGACCTTCTACTTTACCAAGCATGATATCCTTCTGAAGGAACTGGTCCCTCTTGATAACATGACCTAACTATTGTTGTTGTTGTTATGTGCCATCAAGTCATCTCTTACTCATAGCAACCCTATGTACAACAGAACAAAACACTGCCCAGTCCTGTGCCAGCCTCACAATGGTTTCTATACCTGAGCCCATTATTGTAGCCACTGTGTCAATGCATCTCATTGAGAGCCTTCCCCTTTTTTCGTTAACACTCCATATCACTATGCATGATATCTTTCTCCAGGGAACGGTCCCTTCTGACAACATGACCTAAGTAGGTGAGAAGAAGTCTGGCCATTCTCTCTTACAAGGAGCGTTCTGGCTGCACTTCATCTAGGACAGATTTGCTAGTTCTTTTAGCAGTCCCTGGTACTTTCAGCATTCTTTGCCAACACCACAGCTCAAAAGCATCAACTCTTCTTCGATCTTCCTTATTGATTGTCCAGCTCTCACATATATGAGGTGATTGAAAATACCATGGCTTGGGTTAGGTGTACCTTAGTATTCAAGGAGACATCTTTGCTCTAAAGCACTTGACAGAGGTCTTTAGCAGATTTGCCCAATGCAATATGTCTTCTAATGTCTTGACTACTGCTTCTATTGGTTTGATTACAGAATCAAATAATATGATGTCTTTGACAACTTCAGTCTTTTCTCCATTTATCATAATGCTGCTTATTGGTCCAGTTGTGAGGACTTTTGTTTTCATTATATTGAAGTGTAATCCATACTGCGGGAGCTCTGGTAGCATAGTGGCTAAGACACTTGCCTGCTAACCAGACGGCTGGTGGTTCAAACCCACCAGCCACTCCTTGGAAGGAAGGTTGGGCAATCCTACTTCCGTAGTGATACTGCCTCGGAAACCCAAGGAGGGGTCGCTATGAGTCGGGGCCGACTCGATGGCACATAACAACAACAACAACAATCCATACTGCAGAGTATAGTCTTCAGTCTTCATCAGTAAGTGCTTCAAGTCATTCTCACTTTCCACAAGCAAAGTTGTGTCATCTGTGTATCACAGGTTGTTAATGAGTCTTCTTCCAAACCTGATGCCATGTTCTTCTTCATATAGTCCAGTTTCTCAGATTATTTGCTCAGCATACAGATTGAATAAGTATGGTGAAAGGGTATAACCCTGACACATTCACTCCCTTCCTGATTTTAAACCATATAGTATCCCCTAATTCTGTTCAAATGACAGTCTCCTGATCTATGGACAGGTTCTTCATGAGCACAATTAAGTGTTATGGAATTCCCATTTGTGATAGTTGGAGTTGTATGTCAACTTGGCTAGACCACAATTCTGAGTGGTTTAAGCAGTGGTGATGTGAGTTGTTCCCATGATGAGATCAGATGTATATGTTTTGAGCAGCCAATCCATTGAAAGGGAGTTTCCTTAGGAGTGTGGCCTGCTTCCAATATATTTATGGACATCCTGGGAAAAGAAACACTCTTCTGTGGATCGGGATCCTGTTGTGCTGCCTACAACTGTCCATGAGCAAACAATCCACCATTTGGCCTGGTGATCTTGGATTCGTCATTTGTTGGAGTAAACAGCTGGTATACTGCCTGCCAACCTTGAGCTTGTCAGCCCCTGCAGCTGCATGAGTCAGGAAGAGCCTCCAGATTGACATTTGATCCAAGAACTTGGGACTTGCCAGCTTCTGTAAGTGTGTGAGTTATAAATTTCTCTCTATATATCAGCTTTACTGGTTTTGCTTCTCTAGAAAACCCAGCATAGCACACCATTCTTCTCAATGTTATCCATTAATTTAT